ATAAAAGGGCCCCGGCTACCTCACTCACCAGACGAAACGCAGAAGTGCACTTCTACTTTACGCCGGTCTTCTGTGAGGTCGTGGTACTAACCCGGACGGACCTGCCCATTCGTGCAACAGCGAACACTGTTGCGTGGCCCTACCACAGTTGATATAATTTTGTAACAATGTCATATTTACTTGGGTTTAATAATAATGAACTGAAACATTTATATTAAGACAATGTTGAATGGTTATTTCACGTGTTATGGCACGTGTGGTATCTTGGGTGGGCCGGGCATCAGCCGACAATACCAGCGCCAGCAGAATTCCTCGATGCTGTAGTTGTAAGGGAGGTTGATGAATAGAAAGACAAAAATAATATAATAAACAGCTACTCTATGCAAGTCAATACATATATAATTAAAATCTATGTGCACTATAATAGCATTTTAGATTAAAATTTGATATTTTTTCAGTTTGCAGTAAGTGAAAGATGTTGATGTCCGTTTAGATATATACCATGAATTATTTGCTTAAAGCCCCGTCAGAAAATTGGGTTATAAGAAAATTAATAACTGAAACATTTATTTTTAACTACAATTGTGTCATGAGTAAATCTTATTTCAGGTATTAAGGAACAAACTTTGAGTTAACTATCCAAGCCACTGAGCCTGAATTGAGGTGAATTGAAGTAATGGAAAATTGTAAAGACCAGCATGAAAAAGTGTTCATAAAATCTGCTATATACATAAGATCCCATTTAATTTTAAATCTATTTAAAGAATAACTATGAAAACTGGAGCACGCTAGATGGTATTAGCGCTTAGCTCGTGGAAACTATCCATGTCGCACAAATATACTCAAGGCTCTTGGAGAAAAAACGTGAGATGCGGCTGCAGTCTTTAACTGAAATATACTGCGCGGCTATCATCTCCAGTAGTGAAGAGGCTTGAGCGAGATTGAGACATTCTATGGACAGCTGTACACATCGTTGTTTGGGGCCACACACACGTGTGAGAAACGACCCAAGAAGGAAGATTTTTTTGTGAGAAGGTGACAAGCGATCTAGCCGTTCACCTGATGGTAAGTGATAACCGCCGCCCATGGACATTTGCAATAAGAATAGGGTTGCAGATATATTGCCACAGTACAGTACAGTATCATGGACCATATACACACTGCGGCAGATTATACAAAAGACTGAAGTGTATAATCTGCCTATAATTATATCTGTCATACGTGGACTATGAGAAAGCCTTCGATTCTGTCGAAATTTGTTCGGTACTCCAGACTTCAGCGGTGCCAAATTGACTATCGGTATATTGAGGTGATGAGATGTTTTATGATAGCAATACTATTATGTCCATTCGATAACAGTCCAGTAGTGCCAAACTACCATGGCTATCTATTACTAGCTATTACTAAGACTCCGCTTTCTGTCTTTCTGTCTGTCTGGCCGTCCGCCCTGTCCACCTGTCCGTCTGTCCGCCTGTCTGTCTGTCAAAATTTGAAAAAGAAACTTAGGCCAACAACTTTTTGGAAAGACTATTATAACTTTTTAAATCATAAAAAAATAAAAGGCTCCAACACATCAACAGCCAAGCTGTTGAAAGCGAGGGTGGTGCTAGCTAAATTTATTGCCTGATTGAAGCTTACCGATTTACGTACGTATTAATTGATTTATGGCCACATAGAAATGTACATATCGTTTCATTGAACCTGATTCAATATAACGTTTGTAAATGGAACTTGTGTTTTAAACAGAGCATGTAAAACAGACTTTGCGAATAAATAATATCTTAAATAAAATTATCAAAATCTTCTACTTATAGTAGGTGCATAATTATATATGCGTGAAAATAAAATCACTCACAATTGGAAATCTTGAACTTTAATGCTACAGAAATATATAATTTTGCTCAAGAATACTATCTATTAAAGCTGTCTCTGTATGACGCAAGTAAAAGACTAACAATCCATAATAATAAAATAGACAAAAACAAAAACAAAAACTCAGCTATATGTTAAAGTAACCAAGATCATCGACGTATTATTTTTAATTTAAATTGCTTAGAGAAATTGCTTAAGTTATCGCTTGAATCTTGCCCGTGGTCATAATCTTAATAGCAAGTTGTTGTGATAGTTCAGTTGAAGGGAAGCTTATAGAATCACATTATTGATTAATAGTCAAGAGGTTGCAGATTGCAGTTTACCAATGTTTGCATAATATAACGTATTAGAAGCCGCACACATCCAATGTAACATATTATATTACGCAGTTTTATAAATTATTTCAAAACCTAAGGAGTCTGTTCTGCCTCAACGGTACAATTTATAACAAAACATTTTTATGAGATGTATTTTGCTGATGTTTTTATCTTCTCTCTTTTTTTTTCTTCATAGTTCTTACTGGGATCTTTGCTCTAAATGTTAACGTTTTAATTAGGAAAAATAACCCAACCTTATCCGTAAAAGTACGTATCCCGACAATATACTCATAGGAACGGTAGCAATCATGAATAAACAGTTAAGCGATCATTTTTTTTTCATTGTAACCGTTATTTAACATTTTGTTTAAATGTTGTACGTAACCAAAAGTAAACTAACCTATTACCTAAGGTACTACCCAAAACCTTAAGGTAAAAATTGATCATTTTCAAATCGAAAATTGTCAAATTTGTCAATACAACAAAAAAATTGCCAAAAAAAAAGGACTTCTCAAAAGGAGTAGGTACTCGATTCGGTTGTACATAATTTTTGCATTGGTTTTTTTTTAGCTCCCATGTGGTCTCATATTAATTTCATTGGTATTGGACATTGTAGATAGTCGGGGACCTCCTCAAAATGAAATAGACAATTTATAGTGAACGAGATATTAATAGACACTAACTTTTTTGTCCAAAAAATTTACTAAGCCTAAAATAATTTTTTTAAATAGTTATTCCAGAACGAATTGCAGCTTAAAATTTTTGATGAGGATGGGATCTAGTAATTAAAATCGGTTGTAAGTTTATTTTTTTATATATAGCTGTAATTAAGATGAAATAGTGGAAAAAGGACGAAAAGACCTCGCCGCTGCAGGATACGAAATGGCGCGGGACTTTTCTTCCTTTTTTTCTACAAATTTTTATCATTTTAGTTGTAAGATTGGACTTTCGATCCAAAAAGTGTTAAAAAAAGTCTTCATGGACAGTTTACCGGTAAGCAATCCTTGCAATCAAATGACAAGTCCAAAGCAATCAATGGGCATTCATCGCGTTGCAATCTATTCCCACGGACTCTGCTGAAATTGGCGAAACGAGCAGCGTTAGCGTCGCAACAGCGTCGGTTGCGAATCCCACAAGAGTTGACTTAATCATAAGAACGAGCCGCGAAAATCGCTTCGACTGAAACTAGCCCCCGGGGAGGCGCGCGATCGGCCGCCTTTTGCTTTCTTTAGCCTTTAGCCGATCCTGTGCCGCAAACTTGCCGGATTACAATGGACTTACGATCTTCACAGCTTTACAAAAAACTTCACCCGTTAAGCGTTCCGTTTTTTTAAACTGTAAGTAGTTTTTATAATGATATAATTGTGCTTCATTTGTAATAATGTATCTGAACTTGCAAGTCCTCTGGCTGCTGCTGATTTTATATATACTAATACCATAAAACTGAAGAATTTGTTTGTTTGAATTCACTAATCTCAAGAACTACTGGTCAGATTTGAAAAATTCTTGCAGTGTTTTAGATAGCCCTTTTATTGAGGAAGGCTACTTTTTAAGGAAGCTATAAAATGTAGTTTATGCGGGCGGAGCCGCGGGCGAAAAGCTAGTACTTAAATATGTTTTTAATACTTGTATCATTAAAAAAATAGATATCAAGACCGCAGAGTTTCTGCCGGTTCTTCTCTGATCAGGTCTGGTTTAGAGAACCAGTGGTAGTTTTTTTGACTTCAATAACAGCTTAAATTAGAGCATATTGAATAAAGAACTTAAATTATATTCTATTTATAAATGACTCACTGTCAAAGCAATGACTAACATAATGTTATTTATCGATGTCAGTCATCATTAGGATCGTGTTACTTACGGCAGTAAACAAATAGGTGCACGCTTAATAACTACTTTCCCATGAAGTAATGGCGCAAGTGCAAAATTCCGGATTTTTAAAATTCAACGTTTAGCCAATAGGCATACAGTTCTTGATTGTTTGCGCAAATATTCAAAATTTGATCCAGTAAAATAGGTGTCTAGAGGGCGTAGAGGTATTACACTGGCTTATGGCACTGTATTAATTTTGAACCGTAGTAACTTTGGCGGTGACAGAACTAAGACACCGACACATAATTCAGTTTGTAACGCAAATGAAACTAGCGCTTAATTTACTGGTATAATTTGGTGAATTCCTTACTCTTGAAATTGTTTACGCCGTTGTAACATGGACCGGAAGTTGCGTTGCCAGGAATAGATTTATTGTTGCTTTATGATTGTATGCCCCTCATTAGTGATAACTAAGAACAGTGCTTAAGCATTGTTTGGTGTTAAAGGTGCGATTTTCCGTTTTCATTTGTTACAACATTTAAAGAATCTAATTAGTATTGTATTATTTCTTATTACTTAAAAAGTTTTACTATTGTTTTCAATCCGCTTTATATTGTTTGATATAGGTATTTCGAAACACATTATTTTTGCGAGAAATCAACATTGTCATTACTAAGTACTTCAAAAGGCATTGTTATCTATTTTTAAATGAAAACCATTTCAGCTTCTTTTCATCAAGCACAATAGACATAAGCGTTCAACAGCACGTGAAATTGAAACAAAAAAAAAGAGAGAAAATCGTACGGAGCACGCGAAGCGGGGCACCATAGGCCGACTTGGTTCGCGAACTACAATACACTTTACATAAAAAAACATTGTGTCGAACGACAACGGGGCATCAACTTTCCCAGCGAAGACATAAGCGAAATTGAATTACACATATTGAAAAAGAAATGTGTAGCTTCTTGGTAGGCGTGGTTTGACTGAAGACTCCTCCTACAGAGCGGCCGGCGCATGGAGCACGGCGACTTTGTCGGGAAAGCGCTTAGCGTTCCGCGTGTCGCGAAGCGCGCAGTCAGTGCTCGCTCCCGGCCGCGGCGGCGCTGTGCCCAACAAAGCGCCAACTTTGCCCAACACGAGATCAGTTCCCGTTCGCCTCGCTCCGTACGCGTACACAGCTGGAACTTTTGGAGTGTTTGACTTGACGAGCTTCAATATAACTTCGCACGATAAACTCTGAAAGTGAAACGGGGGGAAATGTTGCTCTAGAACAAATACACCGCTGATCAAAAATCCCGCAATGTTTTAAGTGTAAAACTTGTTGTGTGCTTTGTGAAGGAGGTGTAAAAGAACAAACATTCAACAAACTCACAAGCATTTTATAATGTAACCAGGTGGTAATTTTAAACAATTATTAAATTAACAGTACGTTTTGTGATAACTGTATTAAATTGAACCCGTTGCCAATATGAACAGGGTTATTTTTTGAAACAATAATTAAAGTCATCTAAGAAATAAATGTTTATCGGTTTATTAACACAACTATTGTAAAATATATTAAAAGATTATTTTATTGAAATATAATAATAATAAAATATCGCAGCGAAAAAAGAAAAGTTTCTATATAAATAACTAGCTATTTCAAAACATATAATCGTTTATAAATGAATGATACAATTAAATTAAAAGTTACAATTAAATATTTTATGCACAATATTATATTTCACTTTCGAAACAAGATTTTAAAACAAATGCATTTTTCAACCGACTTCAAAAAAGGAGGAGGTTCTCAATTCAGTTACATTGTGTTTTTTTTTAATTTTTATGTTATTCTTTCCGTTGGATTTAAAAATATTTTTGTATTGGATTTGGTTCAAATTCCATGTATATTCCAATATTAATATTATTGGTATTGCATCTTGGACTTCGGAGATATATCAGGGAACTCCCAAAATGAAATAGAAAATGTATAGTTATGGAAACGTTTGCTGTCCGTTTTGTTTTTGTTAATAAAAATGTTATTTATCGATATAACCATTTTATCGTAAATAGAGAATAAATAAAGCTATGACAACGTGGTATATTACAAGTCAATTGATTGTAGGAGGCTGGTTGCAAAATTTTAAAGTTTTTAGTACATTAAGATTGTTATTCTATTTATTGGCCATTGGTAAAAACTGTTCATCCTAATCATGTATATGTTATAATAAAAGAAGGGTAGCGTATGCAATACTCACAAGGTATGGGAATGTGTATATGAGGACATGGATAGACAGAAGTAGTGTTAGTACTATGTTAAATAAAAATGCGTAATCCGGGAAGAATCCCTCAGAGTGAAATTCGTAAGGATCTATTTGTTTATGTGGTACAAATATATGCTTTCCGAGTCTTTCTCCTCTCTCTTTCTAATGTTCTAGCGATCCTGCAAAATTAAATTAATAAATGTTAAAAAAATATTCAATAATTTACATTTCAATGAAATATAAAATAATGTACCGACATTTTTTATAATTTTTATATATTAGTAATTTAAAGGAATTATAATATTAGAAGATTAAACCACAGAAATTCAAAGATTACGGTTTTATTTTAGGAATTACCCTTAAAATTTTTAAACATCATCGGCATTATGTATTTTTTTAATCCAATCTATTCCCTATAGTAATTTTTTTCGGGCAATAGCATGCTAATACCAATAACTAAGCAAACCATTAGAAAAAAAACAATTACTACAAAGATCTGATCGCTATTGTAAAACTAGATAACCTTAACTCATAAAATTTACATTACTGTAAAAAGCCTAGCGTGAGAAGACACACATGTCTTGATCTCTGATCCTTACACGTTACCGTGCGTGGTTTTACAACTAATAATAATGAGTCACAATTTTTATTAATATTTATATATTTAATTACAATTGATAACGGTTATAATGTACAATAAAGTTTTTAAGTAATAACTTATGATTATGACGAAGTTATTCAATACCATGGAAATATGTAGATTTAATGTGGACCTATTATGAATTTATTTACTTCGTTCAAAATAACTTTTAATTAATTGTATCACAAACCCCTGGTCATTTGTTCGAAATAGTATCTTTGGTTACATTCCGGTCTTATTTTATCAAATTTTATTTCTTATAAAGATTATATAAACGATAATTATTTATTTGTTAAATGAACCAAATCCTTTTTGAATGTAAATAAGTGGAAATATTTTTAAAAAATGTTTCACAGTTTCTTTTGTAGTTTGATTATACGGAATGATTTGTATTAATCTGACTACAAAATAGAAAAGTACGAATAACCGTAATTGGCTTACATTTCAAACATAATAGGATACATTTTTTTTTAAACTGTCATCTGGCTGGCTCATCTTAAACCTGTTATGTTCCTATTTTAAATAGGAGATAATTTAACACTTAAACAAATTAAAATTGCCTTTATACTAATTTTGTTAAAATAGCGGTTTCTCGGATGTCACTTAAGTTTACAAAATATTAATTTGTATAAAACACTCTCCATGAAGGAGTCAATAGAATTTTTTTTAAGTTGTTCATTAACTTAAAAGCTTCTTGAAAGCCTAAGAAGACGCTTCGTCAGTTTTATATAAAATGAAGAGCAGCATAATTTAATATTCAATTCATTTTCTGTATGAATTTCTGTGATCCAAGTATTTTACCTAAAGATGTATTACTTTTAGCCATTTCCTGCGAAAGCTTTGAAGCTCAGCAGTTTTGTATTGTGCCCTTCTTAATATCTGGAAATTAAAATGGCATATAAAAGCATAAATAGATTAAACTAATAATGGAACCGTTGGTGTGTAAAAATTAGATTACAGGTTACATAAATTTTTCAATTAGTCGCAATCTCCGTTTCTGTGAAAATATACTAACTATATTTTGCATTAACATTAACATACATAATATATCATCAAACTCACATATAATATATTAATGTAATATTTTGCATTACTAATTTTTATATTTACACTAATATTACAAAACAATACATAATTTCATACATGAGCTCATAATCAAATGGCTGTTGAATAATGTGTAATATTCATGACAACTCAACGGTATTCTTCCCATCACTTAAATCTGTCAAAAAAATACCTGGAAACACATTTTACAAATTTTTCTCTTCTCTACAATAATTATTCAGTCATGGGAGTGACATGACTGACTTAACATTGGCAGAATTCTTTAAAGAGAAGCCATAAAGAAAGAAAGAAGAAGAAGAAGCACATTTTACATATCAATATACATACACATATATACCTAAAATTTTTAATACTTTCAATAATTTAATTTAATAATTTTTGGCTCATAGTGAATTTTTGAAATGGTAAACGTAACGTGGGCTGTGATAGCTTAGTGTCCGGGCGCTCGCTTTTAATTCAATATAACCTGCTCGAGCAACCTGAGTTCGATCCCCGGTGCCGGCACCAATTAAATTGTTATTTTTATGTGCGCAATTATCACGTGCTCAGCGGTGGAGCGGCGGATATGTTAAGTCTGCTAATACGCAGTGGGGACGCGTGGTGGATTATAACTAAAACCCTCTGAACAGAGGAGATCTTTACCAAGCAGTGGGACTTGCAAACGCCGGTACTTTAACTTTTTAAACGTATTGTTGATCATGTTATCCATCGGAGTGTATATGGTACAAGGAGCGCGTATTTCATATATTATTTAAATATATCTCGACAAATTCCCCTGGGAAGAATTTCTTAATTTCCTGCGCAAGCGTTTTTCGCGTCCCAAAATTCACTAACGGCCATTATGTCTCGCACCGTGACACCAGGATGTAATAAGAATCAATTACGCCCTACGCGGCGATAAAGGTAATTTTTATTCGGCCTCCCCTTATCTTAATAGTGTGAGAAACGGTTAAGTGGATTTGTAGGCACGAGTGAGGCCATGTTTCCTGAACGTTGAGCTATTTAAAGTCGCTTCTTAATGATATCTAGGAGCGCATTAATTACCTTCCAACAGCCGGGTAACGCTGCGTGCCGTAAATTATGAGTGGGAATGCTTTATATTTGATTTATATGTATTTCAGATAGAATTATTTCAGTTAGTAAAATTATTGTTATCTTATAATTTAAAAATTACATTTTTAAATCATAGCGAAGAAATGTGTCGTATGGGTTTTAAAATGCTGATGACTCAGAGTTAATCTGGCAGCCTCCTCTCACTTCTTAGTTTTTTGTACGATGTGTTTTATGTATGATAAGAATTATTCGATTCTAACAAATTAATCAACATTTATTTTGTAAATGTCATAATTTGAATCCACTTCAAAATGGATATTCAGCAAGAAATTAGGCGCTCAGACGCAAGTATTTCCTAGTTGCGCAAAAAAATATAAAAAAAATGAGAAAGAATAAAGTTTGCTATAAATATGAACGTTCACTTTGAAAATTTGCAAAATTTTGACAGAAGCTGTTATCCACAGTGGGTAGAATTAAAGATAATTATTATAAAGATATAAGAACGGCACTTTGTTCTTTCTACTGTAACAAAAACTCAGACATACTTGAAAGTTTCCATAAAATTCATTTTATTCATTCCGCTGTGGTTCAGTTCCCATTGGTAGAGAACTACGGCAACAATACTTAAGCTGTATGTAGCAAACATTTATCTATTAATTAACAGGTTTATTTAGTAATTAATGCAGACAAAATTCATTAAGTTCAGCTGCTACCTAAATGATACTTCTTTTTTAAGTAGATAGTTGCATAACAAGCAGGTCATTAGACCTTAAGTGATTACCGTCGCCCTTAGACATTACATGGGTTGCAGATGTTTTGCCTACATTTAAAATGTAGGCCAAACATCATGTAGGCAAACAGGCCCCTGTTACCTCATTCACTAGATGAAACGAGAAAGTATAGCACCTCCACATCAGGACGGTCTTCTGAGAGGCCAGTGACTGATTTTCTTAAAGATGTATGCAGATTTTTAGCAAGCTTGGTGCCATCTAGCATGTGTCCTTAACAGCAAACGACCACTTCCTCATATGAAATTATACAACGAAACAATTAAAAACTAGAGATTAATAAATAATTAAAAAAATAATTAAACGATATTACTTTTTGAAGTAAAACTTCTTTACGTACGCTTGACTTGGGGAGTAAGCTGGTGATACGTGACGAGACCGTTACGATAAGTGTGATCGGCGTTACGAAAAGTGTGATGTTAAGCGATGATTTCTTGATAATTTCATTTCGTTCTTGAAGAATTTTATAAATTAATATTTTGTTCAATACATTAAATATTCTACGTTTAAAGTGAATAAACTTGTAAATTCATTTTTCAGTAGTACTATTCTCTGCACTTAAGACGAAGTAAATAGAAAGATAAAGGTA